AACTTCAGCACTACTGATCCGGTGTTCCCGCCGGACTCGGGCAATGCTCCGAAGACATCGATGATCAAACAACGAAATCCTTTTGAACTCCCCGGCGCGCAGTGGCCACGTTTCTGATCCATATAGTAATATTAAGCACCGCAGCATTGTAAACTTGACCTCTGACGGATAAGCTAATGTCATGCCTAATACAAAAGTGATGTGGGTTCACGAAAGCTGCTCTGGCCTTTTAAATTCGGATGGAAATTTCATCTTTCGTGAGACTATCCGGACTGATACGGCTGCCCAGGTAGACCAATTTGTCTACCTCCACACTCAGCTCATCTGCAAGCATGAGGTTAGGGTTCGATCCCACTCAGTCATTCGGCAGCACCTTAGCATATGTAGGCATATGGAGCATCCGTGTCAGTGTAAACCAACCGAAGAGAATTTTGTAAGGCCTGGAGACGTCAAACCATGCGACATATCCAAATCTTGGTACATCTATGGTAGCAAAAGTCAATGAACCCTACATTCTGGCAGAGTTGGATTTCAACTATCCCGCCAAAGCACCGAAGCCAATTAGTGGTTCGGAATCAGCTCAGAGGATTTTTAGACTGTGGCCGAGGTCGAATTGAACCCCTTTGGCTGGTTTGGTCAGCACCCATGGAAACTGAACCGTATTTCACACAAGAAGCATCACAGGTTATTATCCGTATACTTTTGGTTCGACTTCGTTTCAGGATGATGTTGAAAGATTGACTAGCACCCACTGTGGATGAAAGGCTCCAGTACATAGGGCCACACGTGTGGATCCAACAGAATGGTACGCGATCCCAGCGTACGCTTGCTACGCAACGGTACTTGTAGCCTTAGTCGAACCAAGTGATCCGGTCAGTTGGTGGCTAGCGAAAACTCACCAAATTTGACGTTACTGGTTGTTTTTTTCCAGCGACTGTCTTATGTGCATAGTTTATAACTGGATGTCCGAAGATATCTGGCACACGCAGATGGACATTGCTGGGAAGTATAGGTTGACAAGCCCCAAAGCGTCTAGAAAATCAACAGCTTGAAAATATCATAAACGAGGGATTCAGCTGGGCTCCAGGTGAGTCTCTCGAAAAACTAAATTAGTTTGCAAATGAGTGTATATTCGCTAATTTCGTGCAATTTAGTTTCAAGCAGAACATGATTTTGACGGAAACCCGGGGACTTTGCCTACCTGATGAGCCCCAAAAAGGGCGAAACCGGTCGTGAGCTGTCGAAGAGTTTTCAGCAACCTTACGAGTAGTACATTACAATGAGGTACATGTATCGCGATATTTCAAATATCGTAGCGACTGAAACATGAGGCGGCCTGGTGCAGCACATTCAGTTGCCTGAGAACATCACACACGAGAAATTCAGCTGGGTTCCAGGTGAGTCTCTCGAAAAACCAAATTAGTTTGCGAATGAGTGGATATTCGCTGGCTTTCTTTTACTTGCAGACCTTGGTCGGTAAGAGGATGCTGGGCAATACAGCAAACACGTGTTTCAACAATATGGAATATTCCTCTCCCCTTATCCAGAAAATAATGCTGGTGGGATATGATGTAGACCTTACAGAGAAATAGTGTCCAAGTTTCCTGTCCCGAAAATTGCGCGCACAAGAACAAGGAAGTGAAGCAAACTCCAAGAGGAAGCTCATAATGACACACTATGAAGCAAACTGTTGAGTGTGAAGAACCTTGCAATAGCCGAGTAGATAAATTGACAGCCACCGACGGGAAAGGACTTAGTTCGGACTCAGCCCCGACTTGTTAAATGCCCTTTTCTAGGCTTCGGCGATCTGCCTGTAGTCTTCAGATTGCGGGGCAGCTGCGCATCAATAGAATGTTAGAGATAAATGAATCTGACGCCCAGATGCCAACTCTGATCGATTTCAACAGTTGAGAATTTAGATTATCAAACAGTTTGACTCTGACTGAATCGTTAGGTGGTTCCATGGGCTTTATGGGTTTATGGCTTTATGGGTTTATCCCCCCCCCCAAAGGTTCAACCACGCAAGATATTTGATCCTTATTGGGAAAGAGTTCGAACACATCAAGAGCCCGAGACTGCCAAAGAGTCTGAAGAGTAACGTTAGAGATGAAAGCTCTCTAGTGACAGAGGAGTTTGGACTTTGAACACACACTATAAAGGTACGGTAATACGCCAAGCTCCAGTTTCAGGTAATCCGTCCCTTGTAAGATTGGATGGCTCTTCAGGGGTCAACAGCGGCGGAGAGTACAATCACACTGATGGCGCCAGAAACTTAGTAAACACATACGCAGTTAGTTAGTGCACACGGTGCTGTTTACACTCTGCAGTTGAACTCATGCCACCGATAAAATCAAGCAAATAAACCGGATTGCTCACGTTATTACACGACAATAGCTGGTTAAAATTGTAAGCCAGGCTGGAAACCGTGGAGCAGCTGGTGACCGAAACAATTGTACTTGATTAGATTAAAGTCACCGTGGTAACAGGCTATTTGTGAACAAGGGTCAAGTGGTCTACGATGAACAATCATGTTACGCAACAAGACCAAATTCAACTTAAAATGTTTTTATGCGTGTTCGAGGTCGTAAGGACAAAGTACCAGAACTCTCTGGAACGATGAGTTTGGAACGGGGGGGTGGAATGCCCACTGGGACGATGAAGGTTGCAGTTGGCGTGCTTTTTGTGCGTATCGTGGGTCGTGTAAAACGATGAAGTCAACCCGGAGAGTGAATATGAATCCACCCACGTGGCGTAATTCTACTGGTTAGTCAAATGCTAAATTCTGTCATAAAGAATCATGTAAGAGCGATGAAGCAACCGAATTCACACTGAATTTTGCTTTAAGTTCGCACTTCTACACCTGACATACTACTCAAATGTTGCCGGAAACTCAACGAGAGCTCAGTAACGGTTCTGCCCTTCATGGGGTTCATCAAGTGGTCTTAGGCTCCGAGTTTCCACTAACTCAAAGTTTTGCTTGGACACTGAATTCTACTCAACTGACAGAGTGCAATCATCTACGAAGTATCTTACTGTTTGCTGTAGATTCGACTAAATCTTTGTTGATGATACCTTTCTACCGAATGCGCTCATCAAAAGCCGTTACCTGTTTAATTTGGCACGATGTTCGAGACGTCGCAGAGCACATCTTCCCGACGGTCGAAAGCCATGATGATTTGCTTTGTTTTTGGTGTCTAAGATGAACAGTTACGGTATACTTTAGTGCCAGGCATCAGTTTATCGGTCAGTATGTTAGTTATCCAAGTTTTCTCTAGTCCGATTCGATCGTTGTTGAGCTTTAGCGATCGGATGTGCAATTACAATCGCCCGTTCGCACTGATTACTTGAACTTAAGCGTCGGACCACCAATTAGAAATCATCGGAATTGGCGAAGACGGACTCATTGTTCAAACATTGTTCAACAGACAAACCGCACATAATTCTGCAGGTGGGTCGCGGCTGTTTGAAGCCATTTTGAAGAGGCGAATGATTAAATAGCCGAAAGTGGCCCTAGATATTTTTCGTTTCCAAGATTTTCTGCCAAACTTCAGGCCACAGCGAATCTACAGAGTAACCTGGTGAACGAGGCATGCAAATGCGCAATTCAGTAGTGCACACTGGAAGTGAAGTTAAGGGTGAGAAGTTCAGCTGTAGCAGCCTTCCGGTGCCTAGCTGTCATGCCAATCGAAGTAAGCGCGAGGGCTGCGATACTGCCAAGTTGCCCAAGCCTCGACATGGGGAGTAGAGCGGCAGAGGTCGGGTTCGAACCATGGACCTTCCGGTCAGTAAATTTACGCTATAACCACTTACGCCATCCCGTTCCCATTGAGGGTGAGCAGAGAACTTCAAGAGACTGAAACGACCACACACCCTCGTCTTTGAATATCCAACTAATTCCTCTGCGCACACTTCAGTGACAAAGCGTGAGAGCGAGAATAGGATGTCCTAAAGACACAAGTGGGTGGTACGTGAATCCAAGTAAAAATAGGCGCTGAGTAAAGGGGTCTGCATGAGGGTCTTAGAACATACACCGCTGTCATCTATTCAGGTGGGATAAAGGAAAGCGAACAAGCCGTCACTGCAAGGACCTAGTCACGTTCACGATACAAGTTGATGGGTCAAAGAGCCGATAACTTAGGCCACCAGTGACTTGTGATATTCAGCGCAAAGAAGACATTTATTCTGGACTGTCGAGATTGAGCAGTGAACTTTTACGGTGGAGCAAGTCCGATGGTGACCGGTGGGTGAGATCAGTGGGTGCCAAACTCAAAGGTCACATGGTCACCGACCAATCAAAACACAGGATAGCAGACGAACCAACCACTGATGAACCCAAATGGACGCTGACGATGTCACCTTGAGTGCACTCTAATTGCAAGCAAATCAACAAACAACGGTTCAGATCAACAGACAAACCGCACATAATTCTGCAGCGCGATAACGCTTTGATACTATGGCCTACTGGACAAATCCGTGACTTCTATTCCGAACTACACGAGTTTTCCAATGGGTCTACACTCTGATTACATCCCAATCCTCCGAGTAACACTTAACACGGTACTGAAAAGCCAGAGGTTTCAAAGAAGACTGGTGACTTCATTGTGTTGATCAACTCTTGGCAATTGTGTGGTATATATGTGAGAGACTGGAACTCATCATACGAAAAGCACATCCAAGTAGTGTAACTTGTTGTTAAGTAATAAAATCGTTGAAATGGTCCCACTAGCAATTTGCACCTTCAGAGTACTCTTCAACTGCCTTCACCTAGAAAGCCCCGAATAAAATCCGGTATTTCATTGGCTGAGAAGTCCAATTTCTATACTCGATAGCTAAAAGTTAAGATGCAACTGAGATGCTGCAAAAAATGGAGTGACTTTATTAGGGTCCCGGTTAGTACATCTCGCCAAGGTCGTGTGAGAATGTGTGTCTTCCAACACACAGCACAGGACGATGACCGAAAGAATACCTAACCACAGTTCCCAGGTAAATTTTGCACCAACCTGAGGCACAACACCGATGGCGCGCCGAACCGACGCCTGTGTTAGGTCCGCGACATTTTGCCCGTCAATGAGGATCTCACCTTGGACAACGTCGTACAGTCGGAAAAGTAGGCGAACTATGGTAGATTTTCCTGCCCCCGACTGGCCAACCTGAAACGTAGTGAGAATATCCATTAGTGTGAGATAAGAGCAAAGTTACTCAAGGAACAAGTGCGTAGAAATCTTGTCGAAACCAACGGATTTACACGAAGATGGTCACGCTGCTTTGTACTGTTTTATCTAAGTTTGGCAGTAGATAGCAGTATGATTGATCATTTCATCAGTCTCAATGGATAGAGACACATTAGNACCTGAAACGTGGTGAGAATATCCATTAGTGTGAGATAAGAGCAAAGTTACTCAAGGAACAAGTGCGTAGAAATTTCGTCGAAACCGACTAGCGGATTTACACGAACATGGTCACGCTGCTTTGTACTGTTTTTTCTAAGTTTGGCATTAGATAGCAGTATGATTGATCGTTTCATCGGTCTCAATGGATAGAGACGCATTAGGTCCCCCTGGATACAAACGGAACGGTGGTCCTCGAACCCGTTCTTTGTCTGCACCCCACGCAAAAAACAGTACATTCCACACTCACATCTAAGATAATACAAAAATATTTCTTCCAAATAGCTCATCTGTTTTTTCTTGAACTTTGGACAAATGTCGCCACTCATAATCCATAAAGCCTGAAAAGTTGGCAGACCTTCTAAAAGAAGCGCTACATGTCTACAGTGTTAGGCCCTAGCCTAGTTTTATTCTGCATTGGGCAATAGTGAACAAAGCTACCAGTGCGGTAAAAACGCTCCGGATAAGATAAGCGTTGAAAAATACTACAAGATATCGGCGTGAATCGCTTTTGTGATCCAGGTTAATGAAATCTCTACCATCCTTAATGTCAGCCATCACGCTAACTTAATTCGAAAAGAATTCACGGCTCGAACTGGCAATTCCTCACACGAGACTATCCCCTTAACGACATCCAAGACAAAATTTACGGATGCTAAGTGACCCTTGGAATGAAACACCTTTTGATCATTTCCTTGAAAGGGGAAATTTTCTTCCAAAATCTAGGACAATTTTCTAACAGGACAGGATGTGACATGCAAAGTAGTGAATACTACTGGCAAAAAAGTAGTAGTCAAAAAGGGTCATTCCTGGTTCAGTTTACATAAAATTTCACAGGTGTATCCGAAGACCAAACATCCTGGATAGATGAAGGCCCCGTCAACCGCGAGCGAGAAGAAAGCTTAATTTGTTCCTGATTCAGTTACTTTAGACGCAGATTAACCGGCAGGTGAACAGAAAAGTTTTCTGACAGATCGTTTTGCACACACATCCCGCGTCCAATGCGCAACTACTTACCCCAGCTCTCCAAATCATCGGTGGGCTGTACGACAAGTACAGATGATAATGATAGTGAGGGTGACATCCCAGATTCACCTCGAGTTTCGAGGCACAACTACTTGAGCACGCGAAAGACGGTGTAACAAAAATCAACCCATCTTGATTTTTGAAATTTATTTTCTTAACAGTACTCCAAGTCACGGACAGCTGTTCAGCACAGCTACCACTGCGGTAATACCGCGCTGAGCATTTAACAAGTTCCTGAAGTGATGCGAACCGCCAGCTTTCCGGTTGGTAGTTGATTGCTTTATCATTAGGCCACGATTTACCTATTATGAGTGTGACTCACTCGCGCTTCGATGAGATATGACTTTATTGTCCTTCAGTCACACCAGTCCCACCACACAATTCGGTGTTGACCGGTTCATCGAGACTGATGAGGCCAATACGATCTGTGGAACGTCTCCCTTTCTTAGCAGATTACATGTGAAGAATCAGCACGGCATAAAAATTCCGTAAGGCTATGTTCTACTACTGGCTACTATGGGTTCCTCAGTGTAGCCCACGAGCAGCGCACCCCTCTACTGGTTCAGCCTCTCTGTAGGAACCGCTTTCCGTCAGAATAAGAATGTGTTATGTACTGAATCATTGACCAACTCAACGGTCGCCGCGGACAAATTAGGTTCTGCTTCATAAGTTGGCAAAAACGAAAGTAACACGTGTAAATACATTTCACTGTGGAGAAAGCGCTGCATTAGGAGAGAATCTGCAGCTGGGACAAGAACCTTTGACCGATGCGGTCGCTGTAGAAAAGGTTTCGCTGCACCACCACCACATTACTGTTGGACGATTATGGTTTTAGGTATTCGATGTTTCATCTGTGAAACTTGGTCCTGGAATATGACTGTCAGGACACTGAACACAACTACGGTTATTGGAACAATGACAAACGAGCATCACATAGAAAGCTACCGGTTCACGCGCCAGTCCAAGCCTAGGGCTTCGTGTGTACTTGGTTGAAAACCTGATTGCAGTATATTTTTATAAAAGAAAATACTCACAAGGTTGCTGAAAATCCGTCGACAGCCCACGACCGGTTTCGCCCTTCTGCTTTGGGCTCATCAGGTAGGCGCAGTCCCCGAGTTTCCGTCAACCTTACGTTCTACTGATTGCAGTATGCTCAGCGCAAGGAAGGAACAACACAGCGTATTCCAACTAGGAAAATTTGGGGTGGACTGTGCCCCAAAGGTAGATCAAACCCTGGCTACCTGAAGATTGTTCATGTTTCATTTCGGTACGTTTATGCAGGCACACTACTGGTGCTTGGTTGTGGACAAAGAAGCTCAATAAATCACAAGAAACCTAGGCTTAGTGCTGACAGGTTAAGTCAAAGTCCGACCGAAGCTCAGTTGTTCTTTCCGCCTCACGTAGAGCAACAGATGTTCAGATGAAACTGGATTTTTTCGTTTTCAAAGGCACCTCAGCATTCAGATGGAAAACACCTACTAACAAAGGTAACCGCCATACTCGTGCAGTCCCTTCACAAGCGATCGAATACCGAAATGCTATACACCACGCAACGGACCAATTCACTCAATGATTGCTAACTCACCAAAGCAACTGTGTGTCCAGCTGGAACTTTAAAAGATATATTCTTCAAGATGGGACGTCTGTCCGGAAAGGGCGGGAAGGAGAAGGAAAGAGGTGGAGATGTGTCAGGGAATTACATCTTGGTCAGGTACGGTTGAAAGTACTTTGCCTCGTTGGCCGGTTGTAGGCTAGGAGCTTAGTAACTGGCAAATGCAAAGGAGAAAGTGACCTTTCATGTTTTGTACGCCTTAGAAAAGTTTAGTTCGATCGACACAAAGGAATTCCGAAAGCAGCCAACATATAAAAAGGTCTTTCAACCGCTAAGGGAAAGGACGTATACGATGAAACAAGAAGGGTACCAGATTTTAACCTGAAACAATCAGTTACTGCGCACATATCAGATGAAAAAACGACCAAAGTTGTGAATCATTGACGCCATCATAACGAAAAAATCAGAAAAATTGGGAGTAGCTTGTATGATTTACTTGCTGTATGACAAAACATCCTCATGAGAAGTGTTTCTGAGTCCCTTAAACAAGTTTGCACCCTAGAGACTATTTCTAAAGTCTATCTCTTCATGTTAGTCCTTCAGAAATCGAGGTCACCAGACTTATTGGAAATCAGCATTGCTCACGATCAATCTACATCCAATCCTAAATGGGATCTGTGCCGAAACAGTTGAAGCGGCAGATAACGTCTAGACAGAAAGCTCCACCCGACGATAATCGGATGTCAGCCTTATGTTGGGTTCGCCATAGTTAGCCAAAAACGCCGCATCCTAATATCATGGCCTATCAAATAGCCTTTCGTTTAAACTTCGATGTTAACCAATCATATGACAAAACCTGCGCAACAGTGACCGATCTCTGGAATTATTCGGCTGTAACAACTTTTCGGTGCCTGGCTATCGTGCCACCCGAGTGAAACATGAGGGCTGAAATACTACCAAGTCGCTCAAGCCAAGAAGGGAACAGTCGAGATGTTGGAAGTTGGGTGAGAACCCGAACCTTCCGGTCAGTAAGTAAGCATCCTAACCACTGAGCCAGATCGAGTTCCGTAGATCTCGAACAGTTGAAAATAAAATAAAATGGGTAATGAATGGCAAACAAGTGGTATGCGAACACTCACACGGCACAGATCATAATACACTATAAGGTCTACGGTTTCAGCAATCGACATCAGTTCACCAGTTATCTGAACATAGATAACACTGTGTCGAAGTTGAGGGCCATTGATCAGACGAGATCATTTACACTACTTCAGCGTACACTGATATAGCGGAGACCGAATGTTCGTTTCGCTAGTCAGACGACCAGAGATCAAGCCCGGCTGTAGTACCACGCAATTACTGCTGACAAGGTATGATGAGAGCAAAACGTGATTCTATGGGGCCTATTTCCCGCCAGTCGTTTCAAAATGGCTCCAGAACACCAACCTTATGAGCAGTTCCCTTCATGAAACTGTATTGCAGTATCTCGGAGATCGTACCAGTTGAAACACGAGGTGGTCTTTGTTCAACACGTTCAGTTGAAGACCAGCGCAAACAAGAGATTCAGTTGAGTCTTCGATTAAGACCAACTTGGTGTACAAATGAGCATAGTTCACGAATTTCGTACAATTTGTGTTCAACTAGAAACCTGGGGACTGCGTGAGTCCCAAGAAGAACAAAGTTGGTCGTAGGCTGTCGAACAGTTTCCCGAAACATTATGGGTGCTGTTCTCAAACAAGAAATTATACTCAAACATCTTAGCAAATGAAACACATTCAGTTGGAGAATGCCATAAACGAGATATCTAACTGTGACTTCTGGTAAAAGTAAATTGGTGTGCAAACGAATGTAGCTCGTGAAGAGGGGCTTTTCAGTTGACAGTGTTGTTGATTCGATCGAATGTACGTCAGTATCGGACCCTTGAACGGTTCGGAAACTACGAATGAAAACCGGCGGTATGACCGAAATTCATGGGTAAACGAAGCACATTTAAGTGTTTTATCTGGATGGATCAGAGGGTGTCAAAGAGCAGTGTTAAACACCTGAGGAAAATGTGTGCATCCTGCGGCCTAATTAGGTGTCATCCTGTTCTTCAAGTGTGACTTGTGAAGGCATACTCATGGAGCCATAAAACCTGGCAAGTAAACAAATGTACAAAAATTATCTCTGCCCCAAAATTACAAATCAGTTTGACCTTAGATCCGAACTCACAAGATTTTCTATGTGAAGGTCGCGAATTCTCAGAATTAAGAACGATCGGAAAGCAAGCACTAAGTTCTTTTCAGTGTTTAAGAATTCATTCACTCCCAATCACTACTCCAGTCTTTATGCTTGCTTCTGTCTTGTTCCCCCTTAATCACCCGATCCAACTCCCCCTCCCCATACTTCATCGATGGTTGCGTTATGGATTGCGAGTATGATTCATCCGCGGCGTGATGTCACTCGGGATAACACCCTGCCCTCACTACAACCGAATCGTGAAGTACCTCTGACATCCAACTTCACATTCCTGGATATATCCGACTGTCCTAACTGCAAATATGGATCATCTCTCTGGATGTGACCGGAGAAAGATGCTTTCTCACCTGCAAATTCATGCCACCCAAACGCCAACTAACCCTTCACTCTATTCGGCTACCACCTTCACGTGACCAAACCCTCCTTCGTAACCAAACCTAGCGTAGTCAAACTGTTCCACATTTACTACTACCTGGTATGTAGTAGTCGGCTCTGTTCCCAAATCATGGAAAAGATACCACTACTCCGCAGATGTTTGGCCAAGCTCGAAACCCAAACACCGTGGTACGCTTAACCTCACAAAGCTAGCACCACTCTCAGATGCTTTCCATTTCGGTGTCTGATGAAATTCGTTAGGCATTCCATTCCCACTTGGCTAACCCACACACTGTCGCTCCTGATAAACCCAACTTTACCCATCTACCACAAATTCTATCTATCCCAGAGTAAACATGTCACTCAACGGAGTAGGCCCGTCGAACTGGACTTGGTCCCTCGACCTGATCGAATCTCTCGACCGTGAGGCAACAAATGCTCGCATTTGCAAACATACATTTAGTTTTGATGGGACACTCAACCGAACTCAGCTGGATCTCTCGTTTACGATGGTCCAGTTCCGGTAGAACATGAGGCCAACAGAAACTCAGGAATTTTGTCTGCTTGATGGCAAGCTCCAAAAACGGCGAATACGGGTATCAACTGTCGGAAACTATTTAGCAAACGTATAAGTAGTATGTTCAGTCAAAAAATTGTTTGTGAATTTCCCCAGAAAAAGAAATGAGTAGAACTGGCCCCAGAATATTCGCAGATGATCGATCCATTAGCTTTCTTAGTAATAAAAGTTATCGCATCCCATCCCGTTGAACTATCAGTCCCTCAGAGCAAATGACACCCTGATTCTAACGGTAAGCGATACCTGTAACTTGGGTTTCACACTGTCACCCGCAACGTCCGCGAAAATAGTATTTTGCCATGTTAACCAGGCTCGTGTTCTCGTCCGTCCCTGTTACGTCTAGTCTTTATATTGCTTCTGTCTTGTTCCCCCTTGATCACCTGATCCAACTCCCCCTCCCCATACTTCATCGATGGATGCGTTATGGATTGCGAGTATGATTCATCCGCGGCGTGATGTCACTCGGGATAACACCCTGCCCTCACTACAACCGAATCGTGAAGTACCTCTGACATCCAACTTCACATTCCTGGATATATCCGACTGTCCTAACTGCAAATATGGATCATCTCTCTGGATGTGACCGGAGAAAGATGCTTTCTCACCTGCAAATTCATGCCACCCAAACGCCAACTAACCCTTCACTCTATTCGGCTACCACCTTCACGTGACCAAACCCTCCTTCGTAACCAAACCTAGCGTAGTCAAACTGTTCCACATTTACTACTACCTGGTATGTAGTAGTCGGCTCTGTTCCCAAATCATGGAAAAGATACCACTACTCCGCAGATGTTTGGCCAAGCTCGAAACCCAAACACCATGGTACGCTTAACCTCACAAAGCTAGCACCACTCTCAGATGCTTTCCATTTCGGTGTCTGATGAAATTCGTTAGGCATTCCATTCCCACTTGGCTAACCCACACACTGTCGCTCCTGATAAACCCAACTTTACCCATCTACCACAAATTCTATCTATCCCAGAGTAAACATGTCACTCAACGGAGTAGGCCCGTCGAACTGGACTTGGTCCCTCGACCTGATCGAATCTCTCGACCGTGAGGCAACAAATGCTCGCATTTGCAAACATACATTTAGTTTTGATGGGACACTCAACCGAACTCAGCTGGATCTCTCGTTTACGATGGTCCAGTTCCGGTAGAACATGAGGCCAACAGAAACTCAGGAATTTTGTCTGCTTGATGGCAAGCTCCAAAAACGGCGAATACGGGTATCAACTGTCGGAAACTATTTAGCAAACGTATAAGTAGTATGTTCAGTCAAAAAATTGTTTGTGAATTTCCCCAGAAAAAGAAATGAGTAGAACTGGCCCCAGAATATTCGCAGATGATCGATCCATTAGCTTTCTTAGTAATAAAAGTTATCGCATCCCATCCCGTTGAACTATCAGTCCCTCAGAGCAAATGACACCCCGGTTCTAACGGTAAGCGATGCCTGTAACTTGGGTTTCACAATGTCACCCGCAACGTCCGCGAAAATAGTATTTTGCCATGTTAACCAGGCTCGTGTTCTCGTCCGTCCCTGTTACGTCTAAATTAGCCGTAAAAAGTTACCGACGACCACACCCTGTTATCTACGCGCGATGTGTGAATGTGATCGCAGAGGGACTTCGGAATGGAACGACGTACCTCCTTTTCTACCAATTACGGTGTAATACATGCAACCTTAGTCCGTTCTGGTCACGCTAAGCGAGACTTGGTTGAGCTTTGTTTTCCAGCTCCTCCAAACCTAGCGTTCCACAGCAGCACTACGTATATTACTCGCAACCGCCGCTTCATCGACACCACATTTGGAACGCGTCACTTCAATAGTAGTTATCCCCCCACTGAATATGTATCCGTTCGAGATGACCTCCTTGCAACTGAGCAATAGTCTGGACTTGATCCCTAACGCTAAAAGAATTTCTCATTCCCAAAGGCGATGGACGTGTGGAAGTTGATCTTATGGACCTCCTTCTAAACAGCTTCATCATTCTGACACACTGTCACGTTCACACAAATTTGGCTTTGATGGGATACTCAACTGGATCTAGTCAAAATCTCTCGCGTACAACGGCACGGTTCTAGTAGAACAAAAGATTGATTAAAACTCTGGGATTTTGTCTATCTGATGAGCAACAAGAAAGTCGCTGGCTGTTGCTTATTGCAGAACTACCAAAATGGAGATACTGTACTGTCACTTATAGACCCTTGTGACATTGATAGATCTTGCCTTCGAACAGATCTTTGTGGTGTGGGAATTTTGTTTGCGGACCATTACTCCACCAAAACACACATTTTCCTTGCTGCACCAGTGACCCACCCGACGAAGTCCACCGCTCTTCCTGCTTCACTGCTCTGGACCGGTGCCTGTTACTAAATGTGTATAATAATGAATACTAGTCGCCCGGCTGTCACATCCATTCAGTTTGTAACTTGATAGTGGCGCAACGGCTCAGATGCTATCAGACGCAATAAAAAAGCCAGTTGAGTTGGCTTTGGACCGCAGACCCCTTCCAACCCTGCCAGTCCAATGCCAACAACATCCTCGAATAATGCCGTCTGTACACGAGCTGAGTCAAGCGGTAAACACGTTGAATGTCGCAGCTGCTCATTCCGGAGAACTTCTTACCTACCACTTTGTGACTGGTCCGCGCTCCAGTCAACAGCGGACCACAAGTAAGTCCTGTACATCAATGGACGACGGAGGAACGAATGCATTCCACGTAATAAATAAGTCTTTACCTATGGAATGGAGTTAACAAAAACGAGAGATACTAGCCCATGCGACAGATGAGCGCTACTACTGAACCGGAAACTTCTTGTGGTCGAAATAATATCAACTTAGACGTGCGTTGGCAGCATCGGAGAATATCGAGTCTTAGAAAATAATTAATTAGTAAAAATACCATGTCACACTTTGTATTGCTAACGGACTATGAATGCATTGCAGACCACCAAACGTGACGACGTTTAACTAATACGCCTCATTTAATTTGTTAGTAGTTTTGTCCGGTCGGGATGTTTAAATGAGTACCTTCGCTATCTGGTCCAATCAGAACACCGGTTTGGTCCACTGCCTCAGTCCTAATCTAAAATGAGAATTAGGCGACAGTTCAAACCACATCGAATTGATTCAACTGGTACACTTTTGTTCCACAACTGAAGTCATGCTTCAGTTTAAGAAGGCACATTCATCACTTCAGTTGCACCTAGGCAAAAATGCCAACAGTATTCGTTGTCTGTATCCTATCTTCGTCTGAATGATAACTCTCTCCACCCTCACCTTGTTTGTAATCTAACCCAGAATGACTAAAACGTGGTGCTTCAAAGAGAAAAACAAAGTTTTCAAAGCTGACTGTCATCCAGTCTCCGTATCCTCGACAGTTTGGTAGAAATTGGAATACCAGCAATGCCCAAAGGCTTGTAGATTTCCCCATTGGACCTGTACTAATTGCCATTTAATTGAAGCAGAACAACAAAGCTACGGGTAGGCGACTTCAAAAAGGACGGTTTTTTGTTGCGTACAGTTGTCGAACGACTCCCCCACTTGGTAACTTGGACATCACGCGGAATTCGAAGTGCATGTAAGTGTTGAAGTTGTGGTAATGTAATCAGTTTGTGACCTGTGAACGCCAACAAACAATCATTTGATTTGACGCTTGAACTTGATTGCTTCGCTAATGTTAACACAAGTGATACCGGACAGTCAGACATGCAAAATGGTTTGTCATCCGTTCATGTGTGGTCTTATTGTCGTATCGGAAAGGCGAATGGCAGACCTGATGGAATGATCGAGCACGTAACGCAGAGCGGTTGCTACAAACGTCGGTGTTCCTCCGGGTGCTGAACTGGAGTGATTGCAACAAGTGGAGGCTCGATTCGACGTCAATGGCTCTCAGTTCCCATTCCTCTCACGCTCCGTCTCTGTTATCCCCTTCAATGAACAAACACATCCTAACTAAATCGACATGGTTGTGAAGCAGTTAAATACTAGAAACGTCACACCAGTGATTCGTCAATGACGCCGTCGCTGCCGTGGCCATCCAGGGTTCCGTTGAGTAGCTTAAAATGTCCAGATTGATGCTAGTCGGAGGTAGCTAGCTTATAAAAACCCCGCATTACTCGCATTTTGTGTGAGACACAAAAAAGCACAAAATATAAAACCAACCAGCACTGCTGAGTTCATAAAGAATTTAGAGGTAGGGTCCACTTGATCGGCCTATGAATCATCCATGATTTGCTAACGACATTTCTACACATAGTTTGGTAATTCGGTTTTGACTGGAGACTCGCCTGGAACTCAGCTGAGTCTCTCGTTTATGGCAGTTCGAACGGAACATAAGGTTTGGGGAAAATCGGGGACTGCGCCCACCTGATTAGAACCAAGAAGGACAAAACCGATCTTGGGTTGTCGAAGAGCTTTCAGTAACCTTGTGAGTCAAGACCTTCATGGTTCCGGTCGATACGTTCGCGTCTTAACCGCCGAGCTACCTCGAGCTTCACCGATTACCCATGACCGTCAAATCAGGCGGACTAACCAGACCAGCCGAGTCGCAGAATATGTGTACATAGTGGCCCGCACTACTCATGAGCCACACGTCTACAACATTACCGGAGATAATAATTACACAGCTTGATTTGCATGACGTGCAGCTGAGTCGCAGAATATGTGTACATGGTGGCCCGCACCACTCATGAGCCACACATCTACAACACTACCGGAGACAATAATTACACAGCTTGATCTGTATGACGTAGTCACGAAATGTTGCTCACATCCATCAAAAGCATAACACATTGATAGGTTTATTGTATGGACCCAAGTTGTAACCAAACAGTAACTGACTGAAGAAGGCCCCTGATCTACAATACTATGAAAAAAACCACACCTAGTAACCAACACCTGGAGCACTTACTCCACCGTATAATGGAAACAAACATTTCTGAATTCCACTTCGCCTCCCATAACGCAAAGATCCTTGGCATTCGGTGTGTCCAAAACTTCGGGTTGCTCGTCCAGCAGATCGAACATGTTCTCCATATCGATAAGACTGGTTTGTAGCATCCTACCAAAAGGAAAACAGTGAGTGTATTGTAAATGCTATAGTCGGGATGATGTAGAAACACTGGAAACCAGGTAGGGTACAAAGTAAAGAACAGAACATGAGATAAAATGCGCACGATCAAAGAAAATGCAACCCAGCAAAACCTCCGGTGACATTAGTAGCATACGCTCATCTTCTTCGTCTCTATGGCGAATTCATAACCGAAAAGCAAACGCAAGCACTCTGTTTTCTTACCACTAAAGCGCGATGGACAGAAAACCCCACACCAATCCTCCCCCCAGAGAAAAATGTTGAATCCAATCCAGAAATCTTAATAACATGGGTCCCGCGGAGATTATTTGATACTTGTTTGTGTTGTAAAGACTCCCCAGTTTAGCAACAAAGACAGAGGAATAAATCGGGATTCCGGGAAAAAATGAGCATCTAGTGGATTTGAATGAGGGGGAGGAAAAAACATGACAAAAGTATGTCGTCTGGTGCATAGATCAAGGCAATACATGAATGCGGGTGCTGGTGAGAAGGTTGGTCGACGGTTGGGATTTGACTCCCGCGGTTAAAAAGTATCAGGAGAAAAGTGGTACAAAGAAGAACCCAGATCTGGTTTGATCAATGAGTGTGGGAAAAAGTATGACGTGAGTATCAATCGATCACGTATAGCAAAGTCCAAATAGAGTAGGGTTCACGGAAATGTGTTTGGAAATCATATTGAAAACAGAGAAAAGCAGAGGTTGCACAGTCGGACAGATGACGATAAACGAAGTGCAACGGAAGGATCGAAGAGTAATTCAGTCCTTACAATTTGCGTGTCCGAATACCCGGAATCAAGAAAAGAGCCCAAATTTCAGGACGAATGCAGCTGCATCAAAAATTACCCATCGGAAAAAAGACAACCTCCATGGTCTGACCTCACATCCTGTCTCAAGAAATGGCGTACATCTGACAGACAAAAATCAACTCCCTCTTCTATAAGAACCAGGATCTTTTGCTGCTTCCCAGCAGAGGCGGCTGCCTTTCGGAAACTGGGGAACACGAACGTCACTCGCCACGTTATGTTTGGTCATTAATTTCAGGCTTGTTGAAGACAGACGCAAACACGCACATCTCCGGTGGTTTACGAAGGTGACTGTCAAACGCACGGCCAACAGGTGTAAACACAGGATTCGTTTAAATAGTGGTAAACAACGATGAGACGTAAACACGAGCGTAAATCCGACGGTCAGTTAAGTTGTTCCAGTCACCGGTGAAAACGAACCGGAGAGTTTGTGTGGTAAACTGTCCGATAAAGTACCCTTTTTCTGCTATTAAACCAACTCACATTGGATCAGATCCGTAGGTGATCAGATAAAACAGACAAGAGGATGCCCACCAACCAAAAATGCATTGCTGATGCTTCCTCGAAAGTCAATCGCCAAGCTCTCGGAACAGATCACTAGTAGCCTGATCAATTACCAAAGAATGCGAACCATTCTGCTTGGCCAAAAAGGAGATCTTCGAGGATAGTGCTAAACTATAATAAACGCTGGTAATGGGAACTCTGAATAAACTGAGAAAGGGACAAAGTAGCCCCGTAGGTTGGACACCAAGCCTAGAGTCCTAGCAAAAGACGAGAAGTCCATGAAAGACAGACGACCCTTAGTCCAAATCTTATACAACTACGACGTCGAATGATGCTGTAAGGGACCGCAGTAGTGTGTAAATCACGAGTGATACTCACACATCCGACCACGAGTATGCCAGTGACATCCATTTGCTAGGTAACAAAACAGAAAATCTCGTGTCAGTACTAAATCAGCCAGAACCATATGCTACCCAACCTCTAAGAATTCTTCCTTACATGTCTGTCTAACGGATACCGATAACGAAATGGCACCTGTGTCTCAGTGCCTCGGCAACAGGAGTTGAGGTAGCGTAGAAAACCACGAAACAACGGACGATTTCATTCGGAGTCGAATCTGGATCATCCAAAAGCGAATTCATATTATCTACTGAGCAGAATATTTCCCATCCTTGTTCCTGTATGTCGTTTTCCTCAATCAGGAGTGAATCCGCTTGGCTGTTCAGATAACTCAGGTGCGTCCAGTGAACGTTAGTGGGTTAGGGGTCTCACGTTTTTTGTCGTGTGCCAGATGTCCGTGCTTCAAACATCGACGCGGCTAACGACGCACACGTGGATGGCTTCAGAGGTGCACAAATGCCGCTCGTGGTCTCCCGGGATTTCGAGGTGTCTGCCCGGTTCTGGCCCAATTATCATACAGGAAACCTCACCTGTTCAACTGCAAGATGTACAGGATGCAACGTTGTGAAACTAAAAAATCAAGGGAATAGTGGTATAAAGGCACGATCGGTTGGGTACTATGAGCTGTTTTCAGAGGCTGAAAGATTTCCAGGAAATCAACGTTTCTCTTAGAAGTCCGTCGCCGATGTAAACAACAAGATACCTTAACGAGTGCGCTGGATTTCGGTTCTGTCCAAATTGTCATACAGGAAAACTTACCTGTTCAACTGGAAGATGTACAAGAAGCAACAATGTGAAATTTACAAAAATCAAAGGAATAGTGGTATAAAGGCCCAATCGATCGCCTACTACGAGCCGTTTCCAGAGAGTGAAAGATCTCCAGGAAATCAATGTTCCTCTTAGAAGTCCGTCGCCGATGTAAACAACAAGATACCTTAACGAGTGCGCGCGTCCTGTTATCCCACACCGAAACGGATGAACGTGTTCACGTTTGACCATGTTTATTGGTCTACAGTGAACTTTGAACGCAGTGAACTTCGATAACGCACCCGCTTGAGTTAACCGATAAACCGAAATCATGACGTCGCCAAAGTATCGTGAGTGCTGCTGAAAAATTCTTCATCAGCTGTAGTCGTCCTGTTATCCCACACTGACACGGATGAACATGCTCACGCTTGACCGTGTTTATTGGTCTACACTGAACTTCGAACCGCGATCCAATAACGCACCCGCTTGAGTTAAACGATAAACCAGCTTGCCAGGACACCGCAAAAGCATCGTGAACGCTGCCGAAAAATTCTTCATCAGCTGTAGGAGCTCGCTGTAATCCAATGTGTATGTCACAGCTGATTGGGAAGTCGTAGCAGGCGGATCGAACAGTCGAAACAACCAAGAGTGTTACTGGGTTGAATTTCGGCGCATTGGGTAGGCTAATGAACACCCTCGAGCATGAAGAGATTTGTCTGTTCGCTGATGACAGTTCAGCAGCGTTTAGAGTTAGCTAGTTGAGTGGTGGTGGCACACTGACCCCACACATCGGATTTCCGGGGTTCGAACCCTGGCACATCCGAGAATATGCACTACCGAAGAGCTAAGATGAGAATAAAACTTGATTCAAATGCTCCCCGTCTGAGCGACAATGGACCTCGTGGACTCATTCGCATCATTTGAACCTTTTTCCTGGAAAATCCGCACCAGTTTGACCGTTTTATCAACCGCCAGTTGTTGGATTTCCTCTAAATAAAAGTTTTTCACTCGCAGATGTATTTTGACCACAGGCGTTTCTAATGCGCATCTAAGTTCGCAGGTTTCAATCCCTGAAAAACTTGTGAACATTGGGTCAAAAAACGGTGAGAAGTTCCGCCAGAAAACAAGACCTTGAACTGAATCATGACGCTGCGAGTATAAAGCTACTTGACTTAAATGGTAAAGGCTGTTATATATGCCGGGAAGACGTCCGTATTCCCTAGTGGGATGAACTTAGTAGATGGACACAAGCATTGTGCGTTGTAGGTCGATTGTGGCTTTGGGTGATGGAGCATTGGGGGAAGAAATCTCATGTGACGAAGTTTGTGACGCACGTCTCCTATTCGTACGCCCGAAGGACTGACTGGAGCTTCTACCTTCACCTTGCAACGTCATGGGATTTCTTTCAGACTTGATAGTTGAGGAAGGTCTCATCAACAACGTACCCTAGCATCCATAGAATATCCGAATAGACAGGGAAACAAAAAGTCACGTTTTTTAGGAAGAGGTATGATGTCAGAAGAGAATCGATTGAGGAAAAGGGAAACTACGCTAATCTTAAGAAAGAGACTACCAGGGGAGTGTGTTGACGAACAAATGTTTTCGGTCATTTATCCACAGGACAATACAACTACAAGATTGCTAGTGTGTTGGAATATTGGTATCTCGGGTGCATTCATTGGTAAATGACAAGGTGGCCTTTAATCTTTTCTCCAAGCTTGGTAACTGCATTGCAGACCTTTGGGCGTCTTTAGGGGCTGCTTTTAATCTTTTCTCCAAGTTTGGTAACTGAATTGCAGACCTTTGGGCGTCTTTAGGGGCTGTTGGGTGGGTAGTTCCCGTCTCCGTGATTGCGCTTATATAGTTTGCAAAGAGCAGCACTGAGGTATAACCTGATTGGCCATTGATAAACATTGCACCTAGAGTCCGATTGGTGCAATCGAACCACAAGAGTAAAAAAGACACTTCCATATCCGATAGCCATCTATTTTTAGAATCAGCGATAGAACCGAATTCGGTTGACAGGCGTCACGTGACTGGCATTAGGCTGTCCATTGATTGAAGCCAGGAAATCTGGCAAAACCAGTCGGGAAGCAAATGGGCACTTAGTAAACAGAGAATCGCGCCTTCCAGTTCATATTAGAGGGGTGCACACAGCTTGTTCAGAACACAGAGCAGGAAAACATCAAGGCAACTGTCCTTAAAAGTACACAAAGGATATCCAAATTGCATTCGCGGGTGTCAAGATTCTCACGAATTCCGTTTTTTCCCTTCTGAGAAACAGTTACTCGTTCACTTAGATCATCCTGACGCCATTGTCGCGTTCGACTAACAAAAACCGCGAAAAGTGCATTCTAGCCTGTATACTTCACCCTCTGGACATTCGGGAAGAAAATCCAGTCTCTTGAAGTGTCTCCGATTGCTTTTAGGAAGTATGATGTAATTTTCCACACCTACCAAGCTGAATGCCCGGTGCGCTTACACCTTTCTGAGACACCTACTGATACCTGAGCACTGAGAACCTGTAGAATGGGCTTAGCTCCTAGCACCTGTAAAAAGAAGCTGCATTCTACAATTGTATCAAAAAACTTGAAAGACAATTCGAAAACGTTTAGCTACGATGTGTGGCTACTTCTCACTTTTTGGCTGTGTTAACCAACTTATATTGCATATTCCAACAACCGCCACTGTGCGTGTGGTCTAGGCTTATTGGTTGTCGTGTGCTAACCAATGGAAAAGGTTATTGGCCTCATGAGAGTCTCTCCTGGAATATTTTTGAAGACCTGAAGGTTCTTTGGGAATAATTCTGGAGGACGTGTGTTCATGAAAAGCGTGGAATGAAGGAAGCAGCCTCGTGAGAAAAAGGTGCTGCATAGGTCTGTCAAATGCTAACATTGTAAACTGAATGTATCGACAGGGGTGAATACAGATGGCGTTTCCTCACAAAATCAAAACGAACCTGTAATACATGCCGAAGATGCTCAATGGTGAATACAACTGCAACATATAGGTGTTGAACAGCACAAAGTCTCCAACGGTCAGCGTGCCCAAAACCACATCGTGTGCACAAAGCAATGTCCCAACAAGCAGTCCGATAGTCACCGTGACGTTCTGAACGGTATTCAACACGTTCAGCGAGAAATTTGTCCACCATTCGGCTTTCTGGTAGTCAAGGAAGGCAGTTCGGAATCTGGAAAGCTCAGAGTTTTCGGCATTGAAATATTTCACCTGCGAAAGAAAATTAAACCATAGATGAACAGGCTGACTGTCCTGACCAACAAATGAAAAAGAAACATCCAGTAGTAATTGGCGAGAAATATTGGTGAAACGGATGGCTGCTATCCTTTCAACCACTCAATCCTAGACAGGGGTCACTGAGATGTCAGGCCTAGGCACCAATCACGAATGGACTTGCACAGTTGTTTCCGCAAAATTCGAAACCAGTGACACGATACAGCTGAGCTCCTGTCGCATGAATTGCGTTGTTAACACCAACTACCTCCCATGCTAACCAGTGCTTGGTGCAACGGTTATTAGTGAGGCTTCTCATAGACCGATCAGTGGCGTCATTCATTTCAATCACTACTGGAAATGGGCGATTAACAATGGCCCGCGTGGGACAGGCTTCAGTGAGTGGAAACTCCATAAAAAGGGTAGAAAATCTACGGAAAAATTTCCCTCATCAATAAGGATGAACAATACTCAGTTCCGGACTGGATAGACCGCACTGACCAAGAAACATACTAAAAACCACTGCGTTTTTTTTCATAGGTTTTAGCTTACTACTCTTCCGCTCTTTCAGTTCTGCATTCCTTACTGTTTTCCAAAAATACATCCATTTGGCATGAAGTGGAGCACGTGACTGACCAGAGAGTGCAACAAATGTTTCTATCCGTGACTTTCGGATGGGATATCGAACTTGATCACATGAATCTACTGAAGTGGGTGCCAAAAGCAGGCTCCGAAAAGAGCTTACTTTTCCACTTCACAACATCCAAACAAAGGGCCTTGTCGATGAAAATACGTTTTTCCACTAATTTTGAGGGGGTGGTAACTGAAAAATATCAACTTTCTCGAGAACTACACTCATTTGCAAATCAATTTGGTTTTCACGAGAGATTCAACTGAATCTCTCGTTTGTGATATTCTACAACTAAATGTGTTGCACATAGGCCTCATGATTCAGTTGCCACGATGTTCGAGTAAAACATAAGGTTGACGAAAACTCGGGGACTGCGCCTACCTGATGAGCCCCAAGAAGGGCAAAACTGGTCGTGGGCTGTCGAGGAGTTTTCAGCAACCTTGTGAGTAATTTCCCTTGTGAAGATATCAGCGTTCCCCTCTATTTGTTTATTTCTTGTTTGAGTTGACCATGCAGGACAGACATGATTACGCAGCTAAAGGCATTCATTTATCAAGGCTTTCGGTGTAGGTCCTCGTTTCAGGAGAAAATACACTTGTTTATGGGCCAGCTGGCATTCGAAACAGACCTATCGACGATTAATCCACCGGATTTCTGTGCACAGTAGGCAAACCAGCGAGGATTTGTGCGGAGCCATTGGACACGGGCTATATGACAAGCGGTGTCAGTTCCACGTTCGACTAAGTCCCCTTTGCTGCACACCTTGTCGATAATATTTCACGGCGGTCGCTCGTTAATCCGATTCCTCAAGGTCTCAGGTTTTTGGGTCCTTTCCAACTCGAGTATTGAGGGCAATCAACCGAAAAACGGGATAAGTCTGTTGAAGACATAAACCTGATCAGTTAACCATGGAATTGGTTCCTTTCCTGTGTGTGTAGCATTTTTGAGGCACAGGCGTCGGTAAATGTGGCAAACCTTGCATTCAACAGCCCAAATCGGATGGCCACCATCCTTGAATTACTCTAGCCAGGCTCGTCAACTATTCCTTGATTCACGTGATACGCCACCGTGTTGTTCCACTGACGTAAAAAATTTCTCGTAGCTTCTCCGTACATCCTAATTCAGATGGGTCCTCAAGTTCCGGCTTCTAAGATGTAGGAGACGCGTCATGCACTGGTGAGGTGATGCCATTTGAATGCTGATCCGGGAATAAAGGCCTATTCTGGGTATTCAGTACGAGGCCTGACCCAAAAGCTAGTATAACTAAATTAAGATCGGCGCGCAGGGAGGGAGAGACATGGACGTCCAACCTCCAATAACACTGTTTTTCTTTAATTTACCAGAAATGCACTCCGGATTCTCGAAAGTGTTACAACCGTGCTTGCTAATGCCTTTACAGCCGTTAAAGATGCAAAGTTCTTGGAGTCAAACATTTCTACTTCTCCTCGGACAGAATCCAATATTTTTTAAACAGGAGAAGGCTAGTCGCCTGGGGGTTCGCCATATTGTCCCCACACTTCTATTGAAGCAGAAAATACTTTACCCAATCCACTTCGCTGTACGAATTCTCGTAGCCGATAGACCGCTTTCCGATCATTTTTTCAGCATGATACAAACCCGAAGAACTGTGGCTTGCTTATCAAGAAATGGCAGTGACATTCGATCGGTTAATATGGCTACACTGATGATGATCACCTTCGAGTACGCGCCAAAGTGCATGTCGCACCTGCAAAACTGTCCCGCCGTTGACTAGGTGTCAATTGGTTTAACTGTGACGTAGGAGAACCGGATAACCGCATTGGAATCGTGCCAGTGTTTAATGCGAAGCTATACCCGAAGGTCAATCGGTCCGCATCGAAACACACATCTAAGCGACTGTTGTGGGTAAAACTGAAATCTAGCAAAAACGTTGCTGAGGTTGTTTGGTGAAAATGATTTAAGAATGTTCATCTTGAATCCAAACAAGATCCTGCAGACATAGTAGTCCCAGAGCGATTTGGAGGCACTGGGACGAAGCCTTCAAGACAGCCACTGAAAGCAATCAGTGAACGATGGAATTGAAGTGCCTGAAAAGTATATGGATCGCAGTTGTCACGAGGAATTTTACCGAGATGGATCTAAGAACCAAAGATTCGATACCTCTTTCAGAAAGGGGACAAAAATTGATGAGTTTGATAAGACCCGGGTGAAGAGATGTGGACTTCAGCCACATAGTTCATCTTCAAGACCATGCAATGAGAACCTGCTTGGTTGGCTGCCATAAGGTAGCAAAAAAACAGATAGCCATCAACGGTTGTAAAAGTGAACAGCAGACAAACTGGACAGCTTGCGGACCGCACTTCTCTGACTCCTAATCAAGCAGATGGAAGGATTGAGGGATTGCAAAGATCACTGTTATGTAAGAAGGGAAAGAAAGTAAATCGAAGACAGAGAAAAACCGTGGAATTAGCATCCTGTGCATACCAAGCAAGACCGTGGTTCGTATCCCGCTGGAATTTTGCAAAAAGAACAGACTTTTTTGAAGGTTAGTGTGGACGTCGAAGCCACCAACCTGAGGTTGACTCCAAACAAAAGAGAAACGGTGAGAACGGAACTAACTGCTCTGTGAACATCTTGTGGATTCCAACAAAGATATCGACATAGTCAGAAAGGAAGCATTGTCCTTTATTCTGTGAAATTTCGGCCACCAGCGAAAGGAAGAAAGCCTTCGCTGCGGAGTTATTTATTAGAAACGCCAATCGAACAGCTATAGACTATTGGACAGAGAGGCAAAATGCTCATATGCATTTTGTTTACAAAAACTGGATATCCATCTTCTCCTTCTTCCTGAACTTTCCTGGATATTCATTGACTGTTGCTCAAACGCATGCAAACGCGACTCCACAAATTCCTTAATAAATCTCACTTTTCTATACACGCGAAGCGGACTTACGGGAAAAAATACTACTCGCATGCCCCTTCAGTAGTATCCACCGTTACGCCGGGACAGATTCATGGGCCTCACCCAGTCTTTCATGCTGGAATGAAGGCTCGGGGGTAGGTCAGTTCGAAATCCATATTGGGTTGAAGCAAGAATGTGTTCTTCTTCCAGCTCAGTTCATCTTTTTTGCCAAACAAATTAGTAGATGGGTCGTGCCATTGCGAACTCAGCTCAAAGCAGCTGCCACACACAACCACCGCTTCCCCCATAGATACTGACATTACGGTGTACCACCGTTTTTCTAGTTCATCTTTTTCGCCAAACAAATCAGTAGATGGGTCGTGCCATTGAGAACTCAGCTCAAAGCAGCTGCCACACACAACCACCGCTTCCCCCATAGATACTGACAGTACGGTGTACCACCGTTTTTCTTCACCGTACGGCGGGAAAACCAAGACGCTGCACAGTCGATTTCAAGTTCATGCTTTCACAAACTACTCTGACTTTAAATAGAAGGACCGAATCCGAGACACTGACGTTTTTTTAAAACGCATACCTTGCCAGAGTTGAATGCGATCGGGTGCAAGGCTAGCTTCTCCGCTTTGGCCAACATCCAAAACGTGCATTCCGAAACGTATGTGCTGCTCAATAAAGAGGGAAGTGCGAATTCGAGGACGCCGGATATTCCGTTATCGGACAAGTTTGGAACACTGTAAACTCAAACTGAGTTATGTCCAAAATGGTTTCAAGAGAACTGAAGCAGATGACTGGGCGCTGTAGGCTGTCCGTTCATAGTGGAAATGATGGTCTGTCGACAAGACACAATCTCGGTTATGGAAATCTCAAATAGTTCCAAATAGTTGCCATGCAGGACGGTGGAGCTCGAACAACAGACTTGGAGAACGGCTATTTACGCAGGCGTGAAAACTATTGAGGAGCGACATGTCTGCTGGCATTTTCAAAGCCCTCCGTTCCGAAAAAGCATGTATGAAACCATCTCTGTCGAGTTCGGAATCGGTGCCAGAGTAAAGCAAAGTTGTGTATCAGATTACAACCTACGCAAAATCATTTCGTAATTTCGAAGACGGCATACAAATCCGGACATTGCAGACGATTGACTCTTCAACACGCAAAGCTCCATGGCCAAGACTGTCGTGCAAGCACAATATCGTTAGGACAGACAAAAGACGGCGCTATAGACGAGCACATTAGGAGTTTAGAACACTGGATACCTTTTATCCGTTGAGTAGTACAGCAAGAAAACAAAGGCTGTGGGATACCGACACACTTTCCGCTGAAAAGCGCGTACAAAAATGCAGCGGCTTCGGCTGGCACGGATCCATTCGTAGAAAGTGTGAATCGATGAGAGGAAAGCCGTGAATTACAAAGCACGGTTTGCAGAAATCGAGTGTAGAACAGCTAGCTGGTCGTAAAAGTCAGTTGGACGAGAAGAAAACTACCAGCGGGAAAGCGAATACCGCACGGGATGGGACAAGTTTGTCAGGGACTCTAGACCTTACCGTGTACCGTCCCGTGGTCCTCAATCAAAAGTACCAAAGTGACAACGTGCCACCCTTCCAGATCATCGTCTGACTACTTTTGGATTACCTCCATTAGTTCAAAGTCCTTGGTGGACGCTCTGGCATGCGCTGCACTTGATACAGCAAACACAGTTAACGAAGCATGACTAGCCATCCGTTCAACCAAGGGACGCGATAAACACAACACAAATGGGCGCTATTCAGTAGCTCGAACGGGAAAAACATTCATTCAGGAAAATATCTCACAGTTTCAAAGTTCAGTAGTGCGTCAACAGCCTTTGTGCTCTTGTGATTATCCTTCTCGTTCATATCCCGACGATATTTGGCACGCCATTCCGTCACAGCCATAGTCGACGCTGACCGGAACGCAAGCAAGCGAAAAATGTTCAAATTAGCATTTTTAAAGTGTATATATAGTGGAAAATTAAATCGACGTCAACGATTTGTTGTATTGTCGTTAGACAAAGGGCTTATTTCCTTTCTTAAAAGCGAACTCGTCGCGTAAAGGGGGATATATAGTCTATCAATCATGAAAAATTATACCAGGGTGGTACAGAGAGTTCCCTAAAAACCTATTAGAAGGGTCTGAAACGCGCACATACTGACATTTCGAAATTCACAAGCTGTGGGCATTGAGCGGTTAAGTCGGCGCCCGTTGCTTTTGGAGCTTGATCAAACGCTACAGAACTTGTGTAGATGTGACACACTACTCATAAGGTGAGTGAAAACTCTTCGACTACCGATGATACAGGCGAATCAAAAATCATTTTGAACGTCGCGCGTTCGGAGCTCTCTGAGATGCGCACTACTGAGGATTCTTTACAAGGATGAAACAACTGTACAGATTGACTTTACTGACAGGACGAAATCTCCATTAAAAATTACCAAATCTCCTGACGTAACCACCATTGCTATTCTTCATACAGATACGCGTCAGCCGCATCGTGTGACCCGAATCGTTGAGCGGTGCGTAAAAATCTACTGAAAAGCTGTAAACCAATGCCGGTAGTGACCAATTGCTACTTGCAAGAAACTCAGTAAACTGGGAATGGTTTCAAGGATGTTCACATGCATTCGGCAAACGAATCTCGTTTTACATGCAAGCAAGTGCCTCCACGTACCACCTCTGTCACACAGCTGAGTGAGCCATTTAGACGTGAATGCAGAGGGTATGTAAACACAGGCATATTGTTAAGTATATAAATACCTAGATGTGCGTCATCCCTCACTCTTCCTAAAAGTACAAACGGTGCTCCACTACTGATGAAAGAATTTAAAGATGCCACACAGAAAACTCTCACAAAAACAAACTGACTGGAACAAACCTACCTAAATAAACTCCCATGGTGGCTATAACGATCAGCCCGTACCAGACATTGAACGCACTCAAGAAGTAGACCACTCCAATGATAATATCGATGATGGTCGGCACGATGTTGAAGGCCAAATAGGACAAGATATTGGACACACTGCTTGTACCACGGTCCATGATACGCAACATTTCGCCAGTTTTTCGTGACAAATGCCACCTGAGCGAGAGGCTGGAAAAGAGTTAGCGTGTGAGAACAGTCAAACATACATCACTCACCAACTGATTTTATAGTAAAGTAGGGAAGAAAAGACCTAATGGAGGACATTGAACAGTGAAAAGCATTTTATTGATGTCCGAAAACTAGGAGTGCTCGGAACGAGGAATAATCCGCGGATTGTGTAAACTTTCCAGTCACGAAGTCGTCACTCGAGCAGCCAAGCGACACGTGACCACGTGATGTGGGTTATTTGATAAGCAGAAGAGCGGTGCTATATCATGTCAAATCGCAGGTTAATCGTGACGAGATGACTCGAGTGGTTAGAGCGCGAAGTTACTGACCGGAAGGTCCGTGGTTTGAACCCGACCCCTGCCTCTCGATTTCCCCAGTCTAGGTTTGGGCAACTTGGCAGTATCCCAGTCCTCATTCTTCCTTCGGGTGACATGGCAGCTAGGCACCAAAAGGGTGTTACAGCTGAACGCAGGTCAATCACACCACTGACCAGCCGCTCGCGGCCAAACGATTAAGTGTTCAAACTACTGGTCTTGAAGGTCACTAGCCGAAAACTCTCTAGAGTTTCGCAAAGTCTGCATTGCTGTTGATTCCCAGTGATGATGAAGCAACTTTACGCTTCCTGATGGCATTCCGACACAGTACGGCTTCATCTACAAAACGAAATCTTGATTGAAAGGTCTTTGACCTCTGAAAATTGACACAAAATTTGACGTTCGTGTAGAATCCTATTAGGTGAATTACAACCGATCGATATGGTTTGTTGACTGAATGGAAATAAATGAGATCCCAGTTTCGGTATTTTGAATAATAATTAGTATTTTATTTTCAAATTGCGTAATTACGCCTATATTTTAGAAACTTTTTAAATATTCTCAGGTGGAAAAATATGGTCTTCAGTTGGAAAGTGCAGGGGAAGTTTGCCAAAGATGACGCAATCTCGTGTTTGATTAAAAGTCCCAGTAATAAAGAACGAGTGTTTTGAAAAGAAAAAGAAATTTGACATTCCTTGAAACACGCATGGAGCCCGACCTAATTGTGGATATACCTCGGCGGTGTGTCCTTCAGCAGTTGCTTCCTAACTGTGAAGGGCAAACGGAACTCATGACGTATGTGGTTTCTAGGATCTAAT